ATATTCATTTAAAAAAAATAGTATTTTAATTTTCAATCTGGAGTGCCTCCTTAGAACTCCTAATTTTTAATGAAGGACCATTGGAAAAATAGATTTTATTGTCTAATGTTTTTCATGTCTTTTCCTGTCCTGTTAAAAGATGACCAAATATTTTTAATCATAATTCAATTTTTCCAACGAACGAGAATATCTCATTATTTGAAAAAAGCATTTTTTTACGAATAACTTCAAAATGTTACAATTTCAAAACAAAAATAAACAACAAATAACTATATGCGAAAATGTCAAAAGTTGACATATGGTCACTCTATTCAGAGTGTCATTTTCTATCGAATAAAGTAAAAAAATACTGAGGGTGCCAATTAAAAATCAAAACTTGTAGTTATTTCCGGTAAAACAGGAAGCGACTGAAAGCAATCATGATTTATGTCATATACCTACTAACATAGCAAATTTCGTCTTTTTATCTGAAAAAATAAAAAATTTAAGGGACTCACCCGAGTCACTTTTGAAGAACATGTAGGTGAGTCTTAAATAAGTGCAAATATTTTCAGAGCTGGTAGATCTTGATAAAAGCAACATATTTTCTCTGTACAGTTTTTCAAGTAAGTCCAAAGTAGCCGAGATATTTTACTCTGAAAATTAAAAAAAAAATTTTTTTTCCTTAAATTTTGAAAACCACTGGATCTTTTCTGGATTTTATTTCTTGTAAATTTAATCTACTACATATGTTGTCATATTATCAGAATATCATGTTTTTAACTAAAAATTCAAAAAAAAATCCCAAAAAATTTTTCTGGGTCTGAAATATACCCACCCTTAAAAATATTTCCACATATTTAGGACTCACCCATATTATGTGATATGCTAGTTATATAAATATATTTTGAATCCCGTTATAATACATAAATATTTATATTTTCAGATACTCTTCAACATATTTCTCCTGAAGCTGGTACAGCATTACCATTGGAAAGTCAGTGTTCTACATCATCTCAGCTACAGAAGCGTACAAGAAATGATCCAGAGTTGGAAGAGGGTGCTTCTAGTTCTTCAGTAGGTGTTTCAACGCCAAAAAAAAAGAAATTTGACAATCCTAGATATGTTGGGGATGTTAAGAGTCCTCATTTCTCAACTCCAAAACGTGCAAGAAGGACATTTAAAATAGCCAAAAGAAAAATTTTGGAACAAACTAAAACAATAAAACATCTTCGGAGGCAAAATAGAGAATTAAGAAAAACAGTCAGTAATTTGAAACAACTTCTAGAGCATCTGAAGAAAAAAGACTATCTTTCTGAGAATGCAGCATCATCAATAGTGGTATAGTAAATTTTTTGTCTTTGGCATGAGATTTTGGCATTTAAGTGGGGATCCATTAACTATACATATTAGCTCAAAATAGGGAGGGGGAGTCAAAAATATCCTGTTTATACTTAGAGGAATATAATTTTTATATATTTATAATTTAAAAAATCTTTAAATATTTTGTAATCCTCTTTATAAATTTATAATTTTAAAATGATTTTTTTATTTATTTTTAATTTATTTTATTTGTTATTGGGATTTTTCTATTTGGCATTAAACGTATTTATATATCTTCTCAGTTTTTAAAGAATATATGTTATTATACAAATAATTAAAATAAATCATTTATATTATCTTCTTACTCAATCTTACTCAATTTTCTTTTTTTCAAGGGAAGGAGGATCACTAATATGGCCCAAGAGGGTCTGAATTAAATGAAAAATTGGTTACAACGTTAATGGGTGCTCCCTTAAAAAAGTTCAAATTCTGAAGGAATAAGTTATAAAATTTTAATTATTTTATGTTACCTTAGATTAGTACATTAGATCTAAATTTCAATTTATTTGAAAAATAAGGTTTATGCCAAAGGCTGAAATCAGAATTTTTGCTCAAATTTCTTTGCTAATGTTACTCTGCATTGATTATGGGGTCAGTTTGAACTTATTAAGTAATTTTGTTATAGGAAAATCTACCGGAGAGTATTAAAGAAGTCATTTCTAGAAAACTGAAGACGTCTAAAGATAAAAAATACTCTCCTGATTTAAGAAAATTTGCATTGACCCTACAATTTTATTCTGCAGCAGCGTACGATTACGTAAGAAAATCATGGCAGAACCTGCTACCTCATCCCAGTACCTTACGCCAATGGTATACCGTTGTAGATGGAAAACCCGGCTTTACACAAGAATCTTTTTCTGCTATTGCAACTCGAAATAAGATTTCAAAAGTAAATTTAAATATCGTAATAGACGAAATGTCAATTAGGACCCAAATAATTTATGCCAATGGCAGATTTTATGGTGGGATTGATATGGGCACAGATTTGTCATTAAACGAGAATGATAGTATGAGGGAGGCTAAAAATGCACTTGTTTTTATGGCCGTTGGATTAAATGGATATTGGAAAGTTCCTCTGGGATATTTTTTAATCGATGGCTTAAATGGCAACGAACGGGCCAATTTATTAATTAAATGTTTCGAGTTAGTGAATGACACTGGGGCCAAAGTGTTTTCAGTAACTTTTGATGGGGCCCCAGTGAATCTGGCAATGTGCACATATTTAGGGGCTAATTTTGAATACGGTACACACCTATTTAAACCATGGTTTTTAAACCCTACAACCAGAGAAAAAGTCTGGGTCTTTTGGGACCCTTGCCACATGATTAAATTAGTGCGCAATTGTTTAGGGGATAAAAAGATGTTATTTGATGGCGAAGGCAATTCAATTAAATGGGGACTAATAGAAGAGTTATATAAACTTCAATGTGATGAAGGCTTACACGTCGGGACTAAACTAACTAAAAAACATATTAATTTTAATGATAATAGAATGAATGTGCGGTTGGCAACTCAAACGCTGAGCGAGAGAGTATATAATGCCCTAAGTTTTGTTCATAATATCAAATGTCCTAAATTTGAAGAAAGCTTGCCAACCGCCAAGTTTTGCTTAATCTTTAATAATATTTTTGACATGCTAAATTGCAGAAATAAATTTGCAAAAAGAAATAAATTCAATATTCCTCTTGAGGAAAAAAATATTGAATATTTGTTACAAAACGCATTTGAATTTGAAACATATATTTCTGGTCTAAAAGATGCAAACGGTATATCCATATTAAGATCCGGTAGGAAGACTGGATTTTTGGGACTAATTATATGTTTACAAAATATATTTAATTTATATGAAAAATTAAAGGATGGGGGACAACCCTACTTACTCACACATAAATTAAGTCAAGATTATTTAGAAACTTTTTTTAGCTGTATAAGGGCGAGAGGAGGATTTAACAATAATCCAAATGCTAGACAATTTGAGAGCACGTACAAACGATTGATAATAAGACATGAAATCAGTCATACATATGGCTCAAATTGTCTAGCAGATGGTGTCGAAATATTATCGGTATCATCAAAAAAAAAAATAATAAAGGACGCCATAATTGAATATGAGGATGTAACACTGAACGTGTCTGATCATGGTTATATCCTTGATTATGTATAAATAGATATACAATGAGGGCTTAGTAAAATCCTGTATTCTAGATGGCGCCTTGCCCGTTTTGCATTTTTGTATCTCTTAAGATTCTCTATACCCTTTTTTTTGAATTCCCAAAACAAACGAGATAATTAATTTTATTTATTTCCTGATATCTCATTTTATAATATTTCGGAAGAATCAATCAGGTTTGTGGTTTGGTTTGGTTTATTTTTATAATTATTAGAAATAAATCGCATTTAAAGGATAAGGGATATGTAAGTGTATACCATACGATAAAAAAAACGGCGTCAGAGGTGGCTTGGAAATGAATATCGATGTCATATATTTGTACGTAAACAAATAGACGCCGTTTTTTTTTCGCTCATACCGTATAAGAAAACAAATTTAATAAAACAAACGCATTTATTAATATATTATGTATATAGATCTACATGGTATGTTTCAGTGAAAAACTATATTGATATTAAAATATTTTAATACCTTCAGAATGCTAATTACATGCCATAAAATAGGAGTTTTTACGATGCGGGAAGCCTATCTAGAAAAAGAATTTTAGAAATCAGCAATGGGATTCTGTAAGCTCTGTAGCAAGAAATTTCCTATCGAGCCTATGCTATTTGTATACGATTGATGAGTCACTAGACAGGGAAATGTTTACAGAATCGCACTGCAGATACCTATTACGCTACTAGGAGCCCCCCATTGTGAGACAGATATAAAATAATTTTTATATACCTATTCCATAGCCTATTTTTTTAAATGTCTGTAATATTTATAATAAACTTATTTTAACGAGTAGAAGTATTGCACCAGCATCAAAATTAACACTACTTGTAAAAAACTGTTGCTCCTTGAGTTTGTAATAGATATAAACAAAATAAACATTCGAAAATAACTAAATCGAAGATATCTGAAAACTTTTGGTTGAAAAAGTGTTTTGCCATAACATGTTGGATACGATTAAAATATCTCAATTGATAAATATGCGCATAATGTACATTATCAAACTTATTTGATTTCAGAATATTTAACAAAAAACTTCCAATTTTTCGAAAGATTTAATTCAATTATTAGAACGTCTTTAACCTCAACTTAAAATAAATAACCAACCTGCGCAATATCATACCTTGTATTCTTTGTATCATGATTTGGAACTGTCCAATCAAAGTGCTTACAGATCGAGCAAGCGCAGAAAACCTCCTCCCGAACAAGGATAGACTTATGTAGGAAATGCATTGACATTCTATAGCCATCCTTCAACATCGGGACAGGAATTTAAGCAGTACTCTCCGTATATTTTATTAAAACGTATTTGTTAAACTATAAGCACGAACACGGCCGCCAACATGATTAGATTTTCTGCATACGTTCTTGCTCATTGTTTCGCCCCTATATCTCTGGTTATCCACGTTCTCACGATTTGCATCTGTTTAGTTGGCAGCCCTGAAACCACTGAAAGAGGGAGGTGAAAATAATAATGATAATAATCAAAAAGAAATCTGACAGGTGGTTTAGACATGATTTAGACGAAAACAAATTGTTTTGTCTTTTAAATGAAGTTAACACAGCTCGTTAGTTTTTTAAGGATATCTGATTGTAGAAATACATTCTTTTTTTTATAAGGTAAGTTTTTATACTTCTTAATATGAACTTGATTAAAATATTAAATATAAACTTTGGAGTATATTTGAATACTTATTATTACGTATTTGATTGATAGCATGGACTATGATTATTTAATAAAATTTCTTGCCCTGGGTGACTCTGGAGTTGGAAAAACTAGCTTTTTATATCAATATACAGATGGAACATTCAATTCAAGATTCATATCAACAGTTGGTATTGACTTTAGAGAGAAAAGAATGGTAAAAATTTTTACAATCTGTATAGTTCAGTTGTAAATGTGCTTTTATCTTTATTTAGATATATCAATCCAAGGGTAGAAATTACAGGGTCCATTTGCAACTATGGGATACAGCTGGACAGGAAAGGTAATATTTTTAAATCAATCTAATAGGATATGCACACTTAGATTTCTTACTAGTTATATCTTTAATAATAATTGCCTAGATTCCGCAGTCTTACAACAGCATTTTATAGAGATGCAATGGGATTTTTGCTTCTCTTCGATTTAACTAATGAGCATTCATTTCTTGAAATTCGTAACTGGATTGAACAGCTCAGGGTATGAAGCAGTCATCAATTTAACATCCACTTTAATTTATTATTTAATAGTGCACTTATTTTGCTTTGTTTATTATTTGCATCACCACTTTTCTAACTTTGTTTTTGATTTATTTGTTTGAGTTTTATTATTGTATCTTATAGCTCTGATCTGTCCAATGAAACAATACTTAATTGTTTAATAAAACCAATGCTTAATATATAATATAGGTTGCTTAGTTTTTTTTTATTATTTTAGAGAAGTTAAGTGATGTCCCTTTTAATAAGGTTTTTATTTTATTAGCTTCATGCATATTGTGATACACCTGATATAGTATTATGCGGCAACAAGGCTGACTTGGAAGATAGAAGAGTGGTAACAGAATGGAGAGCTAGAGAGTTTGCAGAAATTAATGGGTAAGTAAGAAAATAAATACTACGCACACTTTTAAATTGTTATGACCATATTTGTTTTAAAGTATAACTCCCTTGTTGATCAAGAATCTATTAAAAAAAATATATTTCTTTTTATATATGCCAGAGGTATTCAACAAAAAATACAATTAGAATAGATACTCACAATAATAAAATAATAAATGTCAAGCACAATCTAAAATTCGTTTTTGAAAACAATTATAGTAAACGCCACGAATGTTTGGGAGTGATTCATCGTTCGCTATCATGTGAACTAATCTGTTCAAGGTCACATAAAACTTAATTCCAGTGCCGTGGTCTTGCAAGTCATATAATAATCAATATATCATCTGTTGTAATTTGTTGTTTTAATTGTCAAAGTCTTGTCAAAACATATATTTGGTTATAGATATAAACTGGAATGCCCCACTGGTCGCACTGCAAGCACACCAATGGACTGACGCACAAAAACGAATCAATCAAAGAAACGCGGTATAATATCGTCTTTGTCAATCACGCTAACATTTTAGAATAAGTAGGAGTAGTGCAGGCAAATGATTAGACCGGGCCTTTAAAAACCTACGTCTGCGGTAAAAATTTACATTTTTAAAATAATAGCGCGCGTGTCGATTCTAACTTCATCAAGCGATGAGTCACTCCCAAACATTCGTGGCGTTTACTCTATTAAACTTCTATCACAATTTTTAAATTTACTTAAGGTGTTACAAAAATAGACCAAGAGTTGTACAAATTCATAGTTCTAGAAATTCTATTTGCAGGGAAATTTTGTGCATAAAAAGTTGAGTAGTATATTTCCAAATATAACAATGATTGTGACCCTAAATGTCTATAAAAAAATACACCCAAAAATAATATCGGATATCTAAAGCATTCTTTGCAACTATGAACAATAAAATATACTACCATTCAGATTTACCTATTTTTTACATACAAAACGTGAACCCTTTTTCATTAAAGATTTGAAAGAAATTGCGTTCAATAGTTTTATAAAACTACAGAAAAACTACTTATAGAATTATTGAATAATTGAAAAATAATGTGATTTAATTATTTTATATTTGTAGTATTTTATTTTACCTTATGATTGAAAAAAACTACGTCTAGTTAGCTTAGAAATGAACATCGATGACATTCCCCATATAATTTTACTAAAATATAATTTTTCTGGTATCTATTTTTTCAAAATTATAAATATGGCATTAGGCATTATATTCTTTATATTTTCTTCATAAACTAATAGTACGAGAGCTAGCAACGTCGGGAAAATAAGTATTTTAAGAAATCTGGCTCTTTGATATATCTTTTACTATGCTCTCTGGATGCGCGTGTGGGCCATCTGGCTACCGGTAAACGTTGCGTTCACTACTGCGCATTTTTACGTTCATTACTTCGCAGAAAGAAGATCCTATATTTTTTAGTCGTTTAAATTCTAGTATTGGATATAAACAGAGCAAGTCTCCATAGCGCGGCGCGAAAGTTCCGCCTATGAAGAGTATGAAGCGAGGAATTCGAGCGAGGATAATTCTGGTGATTAAAAAAAATAATCCTTTATTATCAGAATATAGACGAAATTAAAATAAAAAAGTTCTATACCACGAGTTTTATAGGTGGAACCTATGCGCGCCGCGCTATGGAGACTTGCAGCTTTCTTATAAAACTTTCCCGAAAACGTTGCTAGCTCTTAGACTATAATTGCGTCAAAACCTTTTGTGTAATAGGAAATTTATTGTTCTATTCACATATTTAGGTACTTAATATCTATACCGGGTGCGTCTCAGAAGTGGTTCAGCCCTATAACTTTTTTATTTTTTCAGATAAAAAAAACGAAATTTGGCATGTTAATATACATATGACATAAATTAGGAATGAATGGCGTATTCAATAATCCTTATCTCGCACTTGTTTCACCGGAAATGGCTAGAACTTTTGATTTTTAAATGACACCCTCGGTATATTTTTACTTTATTTGATAGAAAATAACACTCTGAATAGAATGACATATCATTTGTCAACTTTTGACATTTTCGCTTTATGGTTATGTTAAAAACACTAATTTTTAATCAAGGAACCTTGGAAAATTGATCGTCTAAAGTTTTTCGTGTCTTGTCCTGGCCAGTTAAAAGATGCTCAAATTGTATCTTTTATTATATCTCAATTTTTTTCAAATGGAACAAGGGTAGCTCATTACCATATTTGGAAAAAACACTTTTTACGAATAATTTGGTACCACACACTTGGTATTTTAAGTCAAACTGTCGTTATGAACCGCATGTTACAATTTTAAATAAAGCACATGCGAAAATGTCAAAAATATGATATGTCATTCTATTTGTCTTTTTGTATCGAATAAAGTAAAAAAATACCGAGGGTGTCATTAAAAAATCAAAAGTCGCAGTCATTTCCGGTGAAACAGGAAGTGACCGAAAACTTTGAAGGGGTGGCTGCTAATAACCTGGCAGTTTAAGAAATTTTGCTTGCCGCAAGCAGCTCCCAGAAGCTACCCTGGTTTTTGCTGCAAACCGAAAGCAAGTTAGTTCCAAATAACGTTGTGATTTACTGACTGTTAAATGGAGTTATCTGATTGTTGCAGGGAACGATTAGACTATTTTTTAAAGGACAATTCAGTGAAAATCTCATTTTCCTAACAAAGTGGAGCTGCCTGGTTATTGCAGCCACCCCTTCAATTGAATACATCAATCAGTCCTGATTTATGTCATATACTTACATACCAAATCTGGTTCTTTTATCTGAAAAAATAAAAAAGTCATAATAGGGGTGAGCCAGTTTTGAGACGCACCCGGTATTTTTTAATTTGTCATTAAAAGTAAATTCCCTTTATGATATGCCTATAGAGGGTGAGCTTTTATTATTATTGTAATTTCTACAGATCTAAAACATCTAGATTGAAGTTTTTCTTACACCTCAATGTTTCACAATGAGATCTCTAGATTAAGCGTATTTTCAGTATGGCAATACTTGCGGAAATACGTCTTCAACTGGCGGAAATGCCGGAGGTATATCTGAATGACTTCTTTTTCAGATAGTGTGTTTAAAGCAGGATTGGCATGATTTAAATCAAATGATTTAAATCAAGTGATTTTTTTAATTTTAATCATGTGATTTAAATAAAAAAAAAATCTTTATTGAAACTTTATTATAAATCAAAAAATAACTGTAAAAGTTATAAAAATGTGTCCTAGAAAACTATAAAAAATATTTCTATAAAAGATATAACAGATAATAAATCGAAAAGTAATTGTAAATGTTATAAAACTATATAAAAATATATATTCATCAATTTAAATGTTGGGCCGATTTTTGAAGTATTTCGTGTGAATCCATTAGACCGCTAAACGCAGGAATTTATTTTAAAATTTATGTATAAATGACAAAAATTCGCTGTTCGAATACATATCATTCGCAGTCTAGTGCAGAACTAGGTTCTTCTGATATAGACACTAGGAATATCTTCATTCCCGAGAATCTATAATCGTTGTCAGGAAAAATGTTGTTATATATTTTTTTGAAACGGTTTATTTTTCCAAATTCTTGCCGACATTTTGATCTGCAGTAAGTATTTTACACTTTGACATTAGAAAATACTAATTTCATTCTCGACTTAAGACTATTTCCGAACAATAGTGTATTGTTTTATTAGGAGTAAAAATTATACTTTTTTTGATGATGCTGTTTTTGTTTTGATGCGGACCTTTGAACGACCATCGTAAAGCTATTCCGACGTTACAAGGAAGCACAAAAAGTACATTTTAAAACAACAACAAATCCTTTTTTATTCAATTTCAAACATTGCAAATAATATAAACAGTAATCGAGCAACAATTTGTACACTCGTTCAATTTGACACTTAATATCAGTTTAATAATATATTTTTGTACTTTTGTGCTTAGGCGTAACAGTGCTTTACTTTTATCACAGATAACAGTGCTTTTATGCTAGGCGTTAAAATGACAAAAATTAATACTTTTGAGACGTTTGAAAAAAATCCTTTTGATCTGAAGCGAGCGACTTTTTTGCGAAATATATTGGTGACCGATGTGGAAAAATGTCAAACGTATCGTGGAATGTTATCGATATCAAGCAGAGTTATAAATATTTAGCCATTTAGGATAGGGCTTTCATTGGAAATAAGTCTTAGTCATTTGGAAATCCGATTTAAATATTGTTTTGAATTAAAATAAAAAAAATCTGATTTAAATAAAAAAAATCTGATTTTTTTTATTTTTTTTTAAAAATCATGATTTTCTCCAACCCTGGTTTAAAGTCATCACTAACAATAATGTTTAGGTATAGAGCTTGTATTTGACAAGTTTTAACTCTAAAAATTTTAAATATTTTTTTTTCTCATAAACATTTTAACTTTTTTGATTTATAGTGAAACATTGATGTGCATGAAAACTCCGATCTAGCTTTGCAATTCCCTCTAGAAACTTCTAATGCAAATTCTCAGCCAGGAAACCTCTGCTATGTATACATCGCTCCAGTTTAAAATTAAAAATATAATCAAATCTACCAGAAAGCATTTTTACAGGAGGGAACTGTGTCAGGGTTAAATAAAAAATAAGGACAATTGATATGTAAATGTGATGAATTTTTGAAGTATGGGGCACCGGTTTTGTTATCTTCGAACATTCATTATTATTTTTTTGTTTGGCTGATGCCAAGGGAATATTTTCAGTCAGTTTTTGTAATAAAACTTTATATTAAAAATACATTACATGGAAAAGTTAATACGACAATATTTACATATCTGATACCATAATTTTGAAAAAGATTTATATTTAATAGACGGTACATAATATTAAATTGATCCTACAATAAGTGCTTCTATTTTTTTTAACAGTAAATATTTTAATAATGGCATTAGACATAAAGCTGCGGACGCAAACATTATTAGCAGAGTAACTCGCAAATTATTCATTAGAAAACTACTAATATGCAATCTTAATTTTTTTAATTAACTCTCTTTTATTTTAATAATAAAAGGGGGTGTTTTCATATATATTTCTCGATTTGGCGTTTTCATATTCAAGTAATCTGATTTATAGCATTATACAGGATGATTCACGGCCATGGCACTTTAGACTAAACGTCTAAAGTGCCATGGAGAAACCGATGTTTTTTTTTGAAATTTTTGTATAAAGGCACCTGCTCCATCAGTCTAAATTATTTTCAGCATTACAGTGTTGCCGCTTCAAACTAAAAGTGGTCGCATCTTTGTTATTTTAAAGGGAACACCCGGTATATTACTATATTTTTCGAAACTGGCTTTCATGTCTCAAAATTTTAACCAATTTCTACTTTTCGAGATAAAAAATAAAACATGTGTAAAATTGACAATAACATAATCTTGAATAAGCATTGGTTAATTACGGAAGCGCTGAGGGGCCAGCTGAGTTCTTTTTATATATGACTATAGTCAGATAATAACCGACTATAGTCAAATAACAACCGACTATAGTCAGATAACAAATGAATATAGTCAGATCATAACTGACTATAGCCAGATAATAAATGACTATATTCAGATAATATTTGTATAGTTTTAAACACGATACAAGCTATTTTGTCAATTCTTTTGTAGAATTAAACCAAAAAATGTCTAGTAATATTTACTTAATAATTAATAAAAAAAAACAATTTACATAACTAGTATTTTATTTATTGCTTCAACTCAAACGAAACATTTATTATATAAAAAACAGCAAACGTAAACAAATATTCCTAGGAAATAAAAAATAACTCTTAAATATAGATTGTTAATTGAGAAAATACAATTTTTACACCAAGTTAATTGTCCAATCTGTGTTATTGAGCACAGAATTAAAGTCGGATCTAAATTCGGAATAATCGTTATATTTTATAGGAAGTTCGAGTAAGCATGAGCAAGTGTGTGCTTGAGGTATCTTGGATAGACCCTTTTTATCACTGAAATCAATTCTAATCTGTTGTCCAATGATAACATATGCACCTGTGCAAAATCGCACGCTTTCTTAGGGTATCTACGGAGCTTTCTTTAATATTTTTCTTTAAATACCCCTATGTAACATCTTGATCCGGTTCCAGAGTTCCGGAACTATCAGGTAAAATCAAAGATAAAATATTTCTGGAATTTATACGTCTTTCCAGGCAGCCTATAACAAGTCTATACCGGCATCGACATGTATTATGGATCCCTAGTATCAACGGTATGGCCTCTGAAAAGTAGGGTCGAAATCGTAAACTAAACAGCGCAAGCTTCTTCACTGCTTTTTGAACAGCTAATGAAAACCAACTGTTGCGAAATATACTGCGCATGCTTAACATATCCAGGAGCGTTTAAAACTGTACAAATATTATCTGACTATAGTCCTTTATTATCTGGCTATAGTCAGTTATCATCTGACTATAGTCATTTGTTATCTGACTATAGTCGGTTGTTATCTGACTATAGTCATATATGAAAAGTAACTACGGAAGTTTTTTTTTTATATATGACTATAGTCAGACAAAACCGACTATAGTCAGATAACAACCGACTATAGTCAGATAATAAATGACTATAGTCAGATAATATTAGTACAGTTTTAGATGCTGATATGTTAAGCATGCGCAGTATATTTCGCAACAGGTGGTTTTCACATGGATTTCATTAGCTGTTCAAAAAGAAGTGAATAACCTTGCGCTGTTTAGTTTACGATTTCGGGCCTACTTTTCAGAGGCCATCTCGTTGATGCTAGGGATCCATAATACAGGTGGATGCCGGTCTAGACTTGTTATAGACCGTAAAACTCCTTAGATACCCTAAAAAAGTTGCGATTTTGCACAGGTGCAGATGTTATCATTGGACAACAGATTAGAATTGATTTCAGTGATAAAAAGGGTCTATCCAAGATACATCAAGCACACACTTGCTCATGCTTACTCGAACTTCCTATAAAATATAACGACTACCCGAATTTAGATCTGACTTTAATTCTGTGCTCAATAATACAGATTGGACTATTAACTTGGTTAAAAATTGTATTTTCTTAACTAACAATCTATACTTAGTTAAAAGAATTGTTTTTTATTTCCTAGGAATATTTGTTTATGTTTGCTGTTTTTTATATAATAAATGTTTCATTTGAGTTGAAGCAATAAATAAAATACTAGTTATATAAATTGTTTTTTTTTTATTAATTATTAAGTAGCTATTACTAGACATTTTGGTTTAATTCTACAAAAGAAGTAATATATGATTTCTTAATTTAATATACAAATTAACTGCGTCGTAAGGATTTTGGGCTTTTACAAGACCCATGGTCCTTGATGATAATTTAATACATAACTCAAAAACATCTTTGTCACAAGGCTCAGTTAAAGACAAACATTCAGATTCACAATGAAATGCAACCGTTTCATCATTTAATTTAACTATGACATTTTCAGTTCCATGTAATTCTGGTAAATCATAATAATAAGTGGGCCGCTAAGGTACTCTATTATTCTTTGTCTTTCGAATATTGTGAGTATTCCATTCGCATTATATCTGATCAGTTTTTTTTCAATACCAGGCTTTAATTTATCGTAGGAATCCATATGCCAGATAAAATTTGGCCTATAGCCATTGTACTGTCTTCGTCTCAATCTTCGTCGTTTTCTAGTTGCTACCCCACATGGATCAAGCATTTTGAGTAAGATACGAACTCTTTCTTGTTTTGCTGTGAAGCCAGCTTGAATACAACGAAGATGAAGCCATCTGTATCCATGTAAAGAACCTGATCCACTTAATTCATTCCTTATAAACTGCGATAGTGCATTGGAATTGGAATGTTTCTTGCGGTATAAGTTGAGGTTGAGATTGCGAAGGTATCTTTTTAAAGAACGATGGCTTAGATAAATGTTATGTATAGCGAGAAAAGCTAATATTTCATGCTGTTTCAAGCCCAAAGTAAAATAGAATTTTAGCAAATGGTTTAATTTGCTTCCCAATATTTTGCCCTTATATTTTGGTAGGTTCACACTGCAAACACGTAATAGGTCATTTGTTTTGAACTATATTAAGCAGATACACTATTAAAAACTGACAAAATGGCTTGTATCGTGCTTAAAATTATACAAATATTATCTGACTATAGTCAGTTATTATCTGACTATAGTCATTTATTATCTGACTATAGTCATTTGTTATCTGACTATAGTCGATTGTTAATTCCGTAGGTTGTAAGTTCCGTAATTTATGGAAGCGCTGAGGGGCCAGCTGATTTTTTTTATATATGACTATAGTCAGATAATAACCAACTATAGTCAGATAACAAATGACTATAGTCAGATAACATTTGTACAGTTTTAGACGCTCCTGGATATGTTAAGCATGCGCAGTATATTTCGCAACAGGTGGTTTTCACGTGGATTTCATTAGCTGTTCAAAAAGAAGTGAAGCGCTGTTTAGTTTACGATTTCGGGCCTACTTTTCGGAGGCCATCCCGTTGATACTAGGGGGGTTTTTGACAAAAAAAATAAAAACCACCTTATTGTACGACCAGTTTTATGTTTGTCCCATTTAATTATCATTGACACCCTGTATCTTCAAAAATATGCATGATAACATTCTGGACACTTATATGAATTTTTTACCTTAAAATCACTCAAAGAATCACCCCCTGAAGTTTGACCACGTACTTAATTAACACCCTGCATATGACAGCGCTGATGCTGTATCCCGATATTTTGCTGTCTGACTGATACATTTTTATTCTAATATAAGCCTACTGCATAGTCTTAAACTAACTACTACATAGTCTTATATACAGGGTGTATATAATAGAGACCATCTGAGACTACATAATCTTTAATAGCTAAGGGTTCAACACACCCTGACTGTTTTTCAGCATTTGCCATTGTAACGCATGCCGGGTACCAGCTAGTCTCATATAAAGATTTTATGTCATATAAAATATTATACAGGGTTAGTCAAAAGTCCCGAAACGGCCATATATCTCAGAAACCGTTAGACATAATTTTATGTTATTTGGTATACGGGAATACTTTATTAAGCTTGGTGATGGTGATAGAGGGGATGCTGTCAAATTTATATTTTTTTTTCTCTAAGCCACTGAACTTTCTTATTTTTAAAGGCTATATTTTTATTCTATTTGTGGATCCCCCTTAAAATTCTAAGTATTTTTCATGTAGCATTCCCTATAGCCTCTGAAAAGTAGGCCCGAAATCGTAAACTAAACAGGGCAAGCTTATTCATTTCTTTTTGAACAGCTAATGAAATCCACGTGAAAACCACCTGTTGCAAAATATACTGCGCATGCTTAACATATCCAGAAGCGTCTGAAAGTGTACAAATATTATCTGACTATAGTCATTTATTATCTGACTATAGTCATTTACTATCTGGCTATAGTCAGTTATGATCTGACAATAGTCAGTTATGATCTGACTATAGTCATTTGTTATCTGACTATAGTCGGTTATTATATGACTATAGTCATAAAAGTATATATAAAAAACTCAGCTGGCCCCTCAGCGCTTCCGTAGTAAATAACAATATGAACATCCTGCATATTTAATTTTAAATACTATCAGAATTTCATATATTTGCACTTATTCACTGGCTATAATGCTTACCTTAATGTTGCTACTATCACAGTAAACTGCTGTGTTGCGACAACAATAACCTAAACGAACGCGTTTTGAATTGTATTGTGGCAAGGCTTAAATCATTAATATATCACCAGTTAATGAATCGCTTTGCTAGTTATTTTATTTGACCTAATATTTCATATTCTGTTGTGTATCCGCTTCATTCAATTCTTATTTCTAACTTAATACGGTTAATCTTTAACCGTACCTACACCTATCGCACGTAGGCATTAACTTACTTAAATGTTGCTTTTAATCAATCTTTTTTAATACATTTACATTCTGTTTTTATTCAGACTTCCATATTTGGAGACTTCCGCGGCTACTGGACAAAATGTATCTAGAGCAGTAGAAACGTTACTGGAAAAAGTCATGCTACGCATGGAAACAGCAGTAGATATGGCCATGGTACCAGGTCAGAGTGGAAAGTTTAAAGATACTGGAGAGTTCATGTTAAGATCATCATCTCCAGCTCAGAAATGTACTTGTTAAATTGATCTTTAAATTATTGATGTTATTTCAATAAGATATTGGTGTTACTATAAGTGTGATTATTTTTCATAGTTGATATTGTAATGCAAGAAAAAGTAATTTCAGAAACTATGTACCTAAACTACCCATTATACATACATATAGTTATGAAAGAGCCTATTTATAAAGGGCCTAAGTATATAGTAATATACCAATGTGATTCCAAACGTGCGTACAATACTGATAGAATTATTTTGAAATAATTGTCCTAATAGTTCTAGAAAATATATTTAAATAATTATATCAAAAATAAATGTTTAACCTTAATTATTTTAATAAAATATAATTATATAGTTTGTTATTGACAAGATGTGTCAAATATGATTAATTAGAAGTAGAAAATAATATACAAATCCCATTAAATCACTTTTTGGTAAATCTCAAAAAATAATTTATTTTATTATACAATATAATAGCTTTTATAATATTTAAACATTCAATAAAGTAAAATTATATCATCCCTTTTTGTTTAATTATCCCCCAGATATAATACCGAACTCAATTTTCCCCATTTATATTTTATTTATTTATATTTCAATAACAATGGTAGTTTAAAAATCTTGTTCCTAATTCGTGGTACGAAAATTGTTTTTTATGACGATGAGCAAACGAGTAAATTTTCTTGTGCGCAAAAAAACAAACTCCCGTATAAACAGCGTAATAACTGGGCCGGTCAAGCGCTGTGTACAATTTTAGAGGCCATAAGTGGGCGTGCTTGTGCGCAAACTAGTAACCAACTAGTGCGCGACTCCGAAAATTGGAACCACGAAATACAATGCTTTTGACAATAAGTTTATAATCTGTATAACATAATCTGTGATAGCAGCTTTTAATTTTATTAAGACCTACAATAGTTTAATAAATATTTATTATTTTATCAAGAAAAACGAAGAAGTAATTTTTATATTTATATTACGATTTATAGTAGATATATTGAATTTTCTATAAAAGGGCCAATTAAGGTAAATTCATTTTCTTCAGTTCCATTCCTAACCTAACCCTACTATCAGCTCGGCAAATGACTAAAGAATACAAGGACAAGAACATATCGCCTATGCACAAGAAAAGTGACACAACTAAAAAAATCAAAATTTTCAGGAGAATGCTTTAAAGTTTTAGCAAGACTTTTAGCTGGTATTAAACTGTAAATTTTATAATTACGTTACATATAGAAGTCGTAGATATTAAAGTAACCTTTTGATTATAAAACCTGCTATTTTTTTAGAATGTATCTTTTTTGCATTTAGATTTAGATGCTTATTTGTGAATTTATGTCACTTTTCCAGATTAACTAATAGTTGTTTTTGTAATTATAACTATCCAAACAATATTTAATAAAACTTTATTTTATTCATATAAACATAAAAAACGAATTCTGAAAACAACAAACTGTTTAAATAAAACAATATTAAACTACTTAAAAGTATGATTTAAATGACAACTATATAAATAGTAAAAAACAGTAGGTAACAAGAATCAGACCCTCAGACAACTTCAGGTACTGTTTGCTTAACCTAACAAAAACTTTAAAGACTGTTAAAAAAATTAAAATAGTACTTTGGTACAACATTTTTTTTAAATAATCCTAAAATACTTTCCTTTTTTTTGTCATTCAAGGAGGGTTTAGTTGCATACAACTGGTGTAAAACTAATTGATCGCTTCTATTGCTGCGGGGTGTTTTTATTTCGGCTGTTTGAAACTCTTTTTCTTCAAAAGAATTTTTAAAAAATAATTTGTTTTGGTTCTTAACAAATTTTACAATTCTTAAGTCGCCAATTTTTAAAGGCACGTTGGTCGACGTTTTGAGGTTATTAAATCCCAATTTGGCAAGGTCCTTTAAATCGAAAAAGCTTTCGTGGTTTAACTCCTCTACTGCATACGGTTGACCTGTCTTCTTCGCGGTTCTAATAAGGGTGACATATTGGTCAGGAACATAGATCGGTCCTGATTTAAGCGAACGTGTAATTTGTCGTTCAATAACCGAATGGACACTGTCGCCCTCATTCTGTGTATGGCCTTTAATAAGGAACTTGTGGGTTATGGAGTTAACGTATGCATAATTTTGTACTATGTAAAAATACGTAGCTAGCATAAAACGGTTTTTCTGCTGGCCGCAGCAATTGTCCGAAAAAAAAATTATGTCTATGACTTTGTTTTCATTTTGGTCGGCATAAGTTTCTAGTGACTGGACATACTTTAATAGACAAGTGCCTATTTCACACACTCCTCTATTAGCCTGCGATTCGTCCCACACGAAACATTTGGCAGTATTTGTTTTTATTTCGTAAACGGTTAAATTAAATACATTAAGTTTTGACGTGTAATAAAAACAAGATACATCACCTCTTGGACACTGCAGTACGGCTTGGAGGTCATAGACAGCCACAATAGTAGTATCAGGACTATTTTCCTTGTCATGGGCTTTCTCTTGACGAGATAAATCTTTTTCTATTAAATGGCTATCGTAATTTTGTTTCAAGCTGTCTTTTTCTTCATCAGAAGCATTGAAATAAGCAACGCAATCCTCGCATTGATCTTTTTTTGGCGAGTAGAAAGATATATTAAATTCGGAATTAAATATTCTACTGAACATTAGATAGTTGCCAAAAGGTTCGTTTTTCTCTTTACAGGTATTCACGTAGTCGCGATGAATTTCTGCTAAGGATCTGCCTCCTTCAATGTAATCTCTTTTGGAATCGCTTCGTCTATAATGGCTTTCGATTTTCGGAATGCTTTCAATATGACGCCTTATCCCATTTTTAATTGTGTCTTCTACTCGATGATGTTTGCCATGTTTGCCCCGCATTTCAGAAGAAATCATACCCCCGGCACAAAGTGTCTTCTTTTCAATGATTGTTCTTATAGGTCGATCTGAAATGGCCAGCGTTGACTTAAAAAAAGTTTTACATACTCTATGCCTCCTTCCATCTATCATAAAATAAAAGGCGTTATTTGGCTTTCTACTGCTACCTTCGCGTGTATAACGATATTTCACCCCTAATTTTTCAATATGTGCTGACAAGAAGCAGCGCTGGCTCTGGAGATCGGCCAGTTTCCAGTAATCAGAAAATATTTTAAGTCGGGTCTCATCTGGTATATAAGAACTGCATTTCAACCAACACGTTTCTTTGCACGGTTTTCCTATTTCCCTCTTTTTAAATGTCTTTTTTGTTTTGCTACAAGAAATGTAAGATTGACCAGAATTTCTTTGCCTTTTCGCTATATTTTTCTTCCAAGACTCTGGATTTGCTTTTCTTTTTCTGACCTTCTTCTGTTCATCAGGTACTGCGGGACCATCTGGCAAGTTTTCATCATCGCTGCTGGAGGAAAATTCTGGTACAAAATTTAGATCACGTACAGAATCATCCGACGAAAACGGCTCTTCGTCACTTTCTGAAATAAACAAGTCTTAAGCACGTTACTAGAGAAAAATAATAAAACTACTAACCGTCATTTTCCGCCGACAGCTGTGATTCTACTGAATTAAGAACACATTCCTTTAAAATTGGCGAGCTTTCAGCAGTGCATGCGATTTCTGTATTATTAAACGGACTTGCCGCAGAGCAATCCATTGTTGAGGCCTCGTTAGAAATCTCTGTACCTATTATAACAATACTATTAAAAATATTTTATTGCTTTCAGAGATTGCAACAATAATAATTAAGATGTTATTGTTGTAAAGTAAACAAAACGCACCTTCTTTTTCTGTGATTTGAGTACCTAAGACGAAAAATGGTTGATTTGGAACAGGTAGTTCTTTAGGAACACAAGCCGTTATGTCATCTATAGGGCAATTATTGATGGTCGACGTATTCTTAGAGGTTTCTGTAATTATTATCCAAATAGCAAAACACCAAAGAAGAGATGTAATCTTTTTTATTATTGTTAAGAAAAAATACCTTGATCTCTTGTGATTTCAGACTCTATAGAAATACAAATGGGTTCATTTTGACTCGGCTCTATTTGTGAAACACTAGCGGTTTCAATATTATTCAACTGAAAATCTGAATTCAAACTAGAGTCGGAAACTCGTGGACCATCCATGTTCATAAAATTCTCCAAAAAACCTGTAAAAAATTAATTTAAATAAACTAGTACAAAAATGCTTAAAATGGAAATATAATATTAAAATAATACCTACCTTGATCGTTTTCTGACGAATTTAAAGGTATAAATACCCATTCACTGCCATTGATTACTCGACTGTTTTTGGCCAGTTTTAAAATTAGCTTGGATCTTTCTGACATTTTGTACTAATTTATCAGGAAAAGTGTCACAACTCTAAAAGAAGGTATAGAAATTAAGCGTTTATTATCAGGAAAACTGACACAAACTTAAAACTGTACATAAAAATTATAAAGTTTTATCAAGAAAAAAGGCACAACACAAAAAAATACGCTTATTAGATAAACATTTTATTAAAGCAATACTTACTTTTTCATCAAAAGCGTCACAAAACCAAATCTGTCACTTTTCTTGACATATACCCAAACAAAATTAAAATTTATTTTGAAATGTGCCGATTTTGCAGAAAAACTCGCAAAGCTTTCCGCACAACAGTCGGTAGTTAACTGACTGAGCCATAAAGTAACTAAAATAAAAGAGTGTTTGAAAGGTTGTCTAACTTGGCCATAATGTTGCATAGTTCAGTTAGGGCTCCAAAGCGTCGCCACCTGCTACCTGTCACGTGTCATGACAAGATTGACAAGTGACATGACAGCAAATTATTTGTATTTTGCAGTTGTTTACAATTATGTTTTGAATTTTGGAATTTTGTTATTATTTTGTGTAGCATATACTTTGTTTGTTTGTTTTGTGTTTGTGCGTACAGAAATGATGGAGGAAGTTTTATTTCCCGAGGAACTTATATTTCTCTATGATTTGAACTTTGTTTTGTGCGATGTGTTTTACGGTCATCATGTAATATTTTGTTCAGTCGATGATGTGATTTGAACACGATCCAGGAAAGGGTATCATGCAAAGCAAGTTCGATATGTAAAGACATTGCCCATCTCTGAACTCGATGAACGTAAAACGAACTGACTATATATTCGCGCCTTGATTTCACAGTGTTGAACATTTGCTACCTCAACTAAACTTCAACTGCTGAGTTTATAAATCCAACTTACAGGTGAATTAATTTTTGATGATGTCTTATTTAAATCTTAATCTGTTATAATAGCATAGATTGCAAACCCTGCGATCTTATATGGTTTGTTAGTGGCGTTGTTAAATACGTTTTATAATACTATAGGTTAATCGAGGGGTAAACCGCTGGTGTATTTTGGTGTACAAGATGTTGGCATTTTTGGCATTTTCGTGGTATTATTGGTATTAGTACTAAATTATTTGGCATTAGTGTACAGAAATTCATCAGCGGTTTACCCCTCGAGGTTAATTCAGCATATGTTTTATATTATCAAATTTAATTTAGCATTTAACTGTAAGCATTTAAAAAGTGTACAATAGTTTATACTTTTCAAATATTCCGTTTTTAAAAATAAATTTTCTGTCAAAATGTTTTTTGCAGTTTAATTTCGTAATATTTTTAAAAATACATAAAATTTTAAATTCACATTTAAACTGCCCGCCTTTTTGTGGTAGGTAATGCAGATACCTATTTTACCGATTACGTCTGTCATATTTCTGTTAGTTCAGTTAGGGCTCAAGGGTGCGCTACAATCGATCCTCGTTTAACGTGTTGCCTACTTTTTACTATGGAAATGACAACTCTTTTATTTTATATTTCTCTATGGACTGAGCCGTTTTTCGTGATCAGACCTGCTCAGTTTGGCACGCGCACCAAAGTGACACATGTGACCTCTGGTGGTTGTTTGTTGAGTATCATTTCTGTCGTTTTTGTAGATAAGAATTTTGACCTTTTAGGTATGTTTTATGCAAAAAAACGAAAAAGTGAAAATTTTTGATTGTGTCACTTTTCTTGTGCATAGGCGATATGTAACGTCCATCCGCCCATATATGGGCTGCAGCAGAATTTGTGACATTAGACGCCATTTTTTTGGACATAACGAATGAGTCATCATCGACAATTTTGGCGATTTTTAATTGTTGTTTTAGTTGGTTATGTGTAGTGAACTTTGTACAAACTTTATTATAATGGTAATTTGTTCAGCTTTCAAGTGTAAAAGGTGCAATTTTAGGAAAGAGGCAGGAGTTACGTTTTATAGGGAAATAAACAGACCACTCCATTTTTTTACCGTTTTTTAATTGAATTCGCATTCGATAATTGTTTTTCTTATATTATATGTACCTGATATGTGCTATACGTGGATACTAGTTGTATACCTTTTGTTAATATTTTAATACGTTTTTTTTTCGTAATTAATTAGTATGATACTACCGGATACACCATAGGCGTAGTGAAAACATTTATCAAAAATATAAATATCGTTTCAAGCCGCTATGTTAAGATTTGTCCTTGTGTTCTTTAGCTTGAGCTATGCAAAAAAGCAAAAGTAGTTTTTCAAAGGAACGCTTATCAAGACAATTCCTATTTGGATATCTTTGAACATAAACCCTTCAGACCAACAAGCAATTTTCCTCACAAAATAAAATTATTAATAACATATCCATTCCTTTGGCCATCAGATTCTGCTTCATTTTTCTTGATAAAATAATAAATACTTATTAACATATTGTGGGTAAATTAAATAAAAGTAAACTGTTATAAATTTAAATCAAGTGCGTAAACGAATGTCGATTTTGAAAATAGCTATTAACTGTCACTAGAAAATTGTTATGGCGACACCGGCCATCTTGATTGCCATTTTATTGAAAAATCGCTGTTTATTTAAAATCTGAGCCAGATATAGGAAACCCTAATATAGTTTGAAAGAGCATTTAAATCTGCTTTGGCTTATTTAAAAAATACAGAGTTTAGCATTTGGCATAACGAAGTTTTTATGTAAAATATATATTTAAAATAGACCAGTAGTTGTTGATACCCCTATATACATTTAAGGAAGCATTCAAATTTTTTAGTAAAGTTTATTTCTGCGGCTTAAAACCCAGCACAAGAATTAATTCTGAAAAGTAATGTACAGGGTAGGTCAAATTCGACGCTTTTAAATGGAAACACCCTTTTCTATAGGAGATAGACGAAATCTAATATCGGTGTCTGGAGCCCAATTTTCATCAAAAACATGATGCTGAAAACCGCACATCAATATCTGTTACCGTTTCGGAGTTACGGGGTGTTTTTCAAAAATGTGCATTTTTAACAAATCGCTGTAACTTTTTTGCTATGGAAAATTTTGTATTTCTATGAAAACATTTCCAAAGCACCTTTTTACGTAGAATTTAATGGTTTAAGTATAATTTTTTGAAAATTAATAATGTAAGAGTTATCAACAGAAAAATTGATTTTTTATTTGAGACACCCTGTATATTTTTAATTAACTGAAAAGAATTTAAAATTACCTTTCCAAAAATATAGCACACTTGATATTTTGTTATAATCCCCTTCGAAATACAGAGTTATTAAAAGTTCCCCACTTTTAACTAGTAGGCTTTGGACCCCTTATTGATGATATGCCCTTAATGGAACTCGAAAACATATTTTTCCAGCAAGACGACGCACCGCCTCTGAACGCTGAAGTTATCAGCAAATTTTTGCAGCCAATTTCAAGAATAATTGAATAGCTAACCAAGATCCCAGCCGTTGGCCGTCGAGGTCGCCTGACTAAGTGCCCATGGATCTAATCCTATGAATATATTTGCGAAAGAATAAAGGTTCCTTATTCTTCCGTATAATCTAGACAATAATTAGAAATAATTAGCAGATATGAGAGGGTATCTTTCACCCCCACTGAGTTAATGAATTCCGCAAGAAATGTTCAAAAACTGCCCCGTCTCACAGTGGAGCGTCCAATGCTATATTTCGGTCAGAAGTGATTTTTAAAAAGTTACGGCATTTTTTATTTACTTTATATTTTTCAAAAGTAGAGTCATCGGCTAATGAAAAGTTACTAATACTTTCACAAAAAAATAATTACGAAGTTGCTAATATGACCCCTAACCACAATACGTGTTAGCTTATCATTTATGTTGGTAAAATAATTTTAAGAAGTTATATAATTTTGAAGGTTTACCTAATCACAAAAAATAATTTGTTATACTACTTTCAAAAAGTGTTCTCTTCGCTGTTAATAATTTATATCTAAACATTTTAGAAACTCTTTAAAATGTTTTTTTCAAATCGATTAAGCCTATATTTTATGCATATTTATAATTAAATCAAAAGCAGAAAAAAAGGATCTAAATGGTACTACGTTTTGTCGTATTGCAAATTAACTTCCTTCATATGTGCAGTTTTCCGCAAAAACAAAGTTGGCTGCTGTCATCTGCTTATTCAATTGTTTTAATATTTGAGACATTACGTGGGCGCGCACCGTCTTCGATAATATTGCATAGCCTATTTAGGTACTAGTTATTATTTATCTCGTTTGCAATAACTTGAAAATTTTACATCGGTATTTTGCTTTGTGAATTTTGGCGTTGTTTTGAGTTATAGTGTTAACCAGTATTTTGATTATTAAGTTTTGGCGTTGTTTTCAGTTTGAGTGTTAAGCGTTTCTATCATTCGTTAAAATTTTGACTACTTTATTTTAAAACATGGTTCGTGTTAGTAGAAGGTGTCTTACCGTCAGTTACTTGGAGTGTGCGGGAAACGAAGAACTTTTTTTTTCACGTTTAAAAGCAAAACATAATTTTACCAATGATGGATTTAAAGCAATAAAAAGACACTTGCAAAAAAGCTTTCTACCTCAACTTCGACAAAAATGGAAAACAGCATGCAGAGTCAAAGCAGTGTTTTTTAAAAAAAATGTATCTTGGCTTGATAAAGATATTGTTATTGACAGCAAGTACCTCTCTGATATTCCTAAACAAGGAAGACCATCTAAAAGTTTCGAAAACAGCTCAACTTCGACAAAAATGGAAAACAGCATGCAGAGTCAAAGCAGTGTTTTTTAAAAAAAATGTATCTTGGCTTGATAAAGATATTGTTATTGACAGCAAGTACCTCTCTGATATTCCTAAACAAGGAAGACCATCTAAAAGTTTCGAAAACAGCTCGGACAGAAAAAACGAAGAAAATTGGCCAACATTAAACAAAACACTGATATGAGTCTTAAAGAAATTGAATGTATTTTCTTAAAACAATTGGCTGCAGCGGGCAAAAAGGATGAAGCGGAGGCCATTAAAGAAATTTTATCCAAAGGAATTAATAGTTATAAAAAACAAAATTTGTGTGATGTGTTTTCTAAACAGGAAGCTTTAGCGTTAATGGTAGATTTAAAACTGTCAAGATATCAATATAATTGTCTAAGAACGAAGTGCAAAGAAAAAAATGCTCCAAATTTTCCAAGCTACTATCAGATTTCTAATGCTAAAGCGGATTGTTATCCATTAAATATGGTTATTACCGAAAGGGGGGCTTCATTAGCTTTACAAGATCTTTTAAATCACACCACAGAAAGAATTTTTATGATAGAGGAAGTTAAAAAGTGTGCAATGGAAAGTTATTCGAGAAGTTTTACGTTATTTTCCAAATGGGGATGTGATGGCTCTTCAGGAAATAGCAACTACAGACAAAATTTTACTGATTTAACAATTTCCGACGATAGTGTCTTTGTTGTATCTTTAGTTCCTCTTCAAATAGTATCCACAGAAAATAACGTTGTTGTATGGAAAAATCCCCATCCTTCCTCTCCAAATTATTGCAGGCCTATTTTCTTTGAATTTTTAAAAGAATCACCAGAAAATACTAAACTAATTACCCGGAAGTACAAAAATGAAATTGAAAATTTAAATAATACCGTAATTTTATGTACTGATAAAGAGCTTCATATTTGTCATAATTTGTCTTTCACTATGATAGACGGTAAAGTCGCCCAGGTCCTTACAGAAACATCTTCTGCAGCATGTTGTACAATTTGTAAAGTTAAACCGTCGGATATGAACAACCTTAGTAAAGTTATGAAAAGAGCAGTGGACGAAAGTGCTTACCAATATGGCCTATCCAATTTGCACGCTCAAATTCGCTTTATGGAGTGTATTTTACACATTGCCTATAGATTACCATTTAGAAGATGGAGTGCTCGTACCAAAGAAGAGAAGGATCTTCTGAAAAATACCAAAAAGAGAATCCAAAATGAACTAAAAGAAAAGCTTGGTATTATAGTTGATGTACCGCGGCAAGGAGTAGGCAGTTCAAACGATGGCAATACTGCTAGAAGATTTTTTCGAGATATTGACGTTGTTTCGGACATAACTGGAGTTAGTAAGGACCTTATTCAAAAAATGTCTGTTATTTTGCAAGTTTTGGTGAGCGAACATCCTATTGACGAAGAGAAATTTAAAAAATTTTGCTACGAAACTGCTGAACTTTATGTTTATCAATACAGTTGGTATTATATGCCTTCATCTTTACACAAAGTTTTGATTCATGGTGCTGCCATAATTCAATCAGCGACTTTACCAA